TAATAATAATAATAATAATAATAATAGTAAAGAAAGAGAAGAAGAAGATGATGATGAGAACTTGGAGATGGAATATTAATGTAAGGATTAAACAATAATAATAACAAATGTCAAGGTTAGAGGTTCCACTAATGGTATATCAAACAAGTATAGTATAAACTTTTATTATTGAATTGGAAACCACACACAAAGGAGGTTCCAATCAGATTATATATTGTTAACATGATTACATTAGTCATCTTATTCAATTAATGCTAATACTTGTAAATCTCGTCAAGCATTCATGATTATAACTTATGTTAACAACAAATCAAGTTCCTTTCATAGCTCAGGTGTCGGTTATACCATACATTATGGGCTATGAAAGTGCCAAGCATTTGTTGTACCAAGTGTTATACAACATAAATCAAGATTAGTTATTTAACAAGCAAAGTATTAAAGAGTGAACAAGATAGCAAATATAAAACATGTTAGTATCAAACATTAAAGTCCATATTAAGTTTACATTATACTTATTCTTACACCATTAGTGTAACCTTTTCACCTTGACATAATTAACTTAGCTAGACATAATGAAAGAAAGCAAAATAGATAAACAAAATAAGAACATAAAAGTTAACTAAGTAAAGGAAAGGAAATGAAAGGCATAAACTTAATATTAATGAAAACAAAGCATAAAAAATACAAAGAGAGAAAGGAAGAGCATGATCTTGATCTGGAAACCAAGATGCCTAAATGCATGGCAAATGCCTCCTTTTATAGGCCAAAATTGGAAACTATTGATTTGATGACTAATTGATAAGTGGGTGACCAACTTTTGACTTGGTGACAATCCTTATCTTCTCTTGTCTGCCCAAAACGTCATTGATAACGTCAAAATTGGAGCCAGTTGTAAACATGAAAGTTGTAGGTAATTGTCTCATCTTTCTTGTGTAAAACATTCAGCTCATTTGGACTTCTAGAACTCTAGATATGGCCAAAATACCGAACAGTGCTCGGGCTGGAAGACAGATTCGGGCTTCTTTGTTGTTGCTACAATTTGGACTTGATAATGGCCTTTTTAGATCTTGGGCTCCATATGAAAGTTGTAGGCCTATGTCTTACCTTTCTATCCATATAAAGTAGACCTAAATCTAAGATGTATAGCTCCAGATATGACCTAATTACCGAACAGTGTTCTGGTTTGGATTGCTCCGACATCTCTTTTATAACTTTGGTCATCTCTTTGCCCTTGCAATTTAAGTTCTTAAAGTCATCAATCAATCATTTCATTTATGTGATAGGCCTGCATTTAAAATGAACATTTACCATAATTTAAATGTATCTTATATTATTAGATATATTATTATAAAACATGCTTTAGTTAAGGAGTTATTGATACTTCAAGTGCAAAATGATAATATAAAACCATGATAAAAAGGCACTTTTAAGTACTAATCACTCCTCCCCAAGGATACAACTGGTGCTTGCCAAACATCAGAGTGAATCAGGTCTAAGATGCCTTTGCTCTTAGTTGTTGATGTGCCAAACTTTAACCTGTGTTGTTTACTTGTAACATAGTGCTCACAAAAAGGTAAAGTAACCTTTGTAAGCTCAAGGAGTAACTTCTGATCAGAGAGAACCTTTAAACCTTTCTCTGACATGTGACCTAGTTTTTGATGCCACATCATTGTCTTCTCTTCTGCAGGATTGGCTGATGCGATTAACGCTTCTGCCTCATGATGTGTTTCTCCCATTAAAGCAAATATATTTGCAACTGTCTTTCTTACCTTTAAAACCACTAGCACTCCTTTGATGATTTTTATGATTCCATTATCTGTTCGAATCTTACAGCCAAGACTATCAAATTATCCTATGGACAAAAGATTCTTCTTTAAGTCTTTCACATGTCACACTTCTGAAATAGTACGAATTAAGCCATCATACATCTTCAATTTGATGGTGTCAATGCCAACAATCTCTAAAGCATGATTATCACTCCAGAGATGGGTTTATATGTATGGAATCAATCTCGATTAGGAGTCATATGTCATGTTGCTCTTGAATCCATTAGCCAGACCTTAATGAGCTCTTCTCTATCTATAGAGATTGTTGCTGCTTCACTATATAAAACCTCTCCATCTTCGGAGGTGCTTGCAACACATCCTTGAGGTTTTGATGACTCTACAGTATTCTCTATACCCTTTTTAAACCAACAATCCTTTTTAAAGTGCTATTTTTTGCTACAGTTGTAGCATTTCATAGTTTTCTTACTTCTTGATTTGGACCTCCATTGCCTTTGACTCCCATTGGAGCCACGCTCCGTTGATCTTCCCCTTGACACTAACAACGCCTCTGCTTGGTTTGAACTGTTTCTGTCTCCTTTGTTTTTGTGTCTATTTTCTTCTTCTAAGATAGTGGCTGCAACATCATCGAAGACTAAATAGTCTGAGAGGATATTATTTGTTAAATTGATAATAAGTTGATCATACAAATTAGGAAGACTTTAAAGTAGAAGCTCTGCACGTTCATTTTCCTCTATTTGTTAACCCAACGTAGTGAGTTGTGAAAATAGAGTTCTTATTGTGTTGATGTGGTCAGTCACCGACGTGGTCAGTCCTCTGCTTTAAGAAAATCTTGTTGTGCAAAGACTTGGACTCGTATAACTTTGTTAGAGTCTCTCATATCTCCTTAGTTGTTTTCTTCTGCACCACACTTGATAATACTTCATCGGCTAATGCTAAATATATGTTAGCAATAGCATTGTCATCCATCTCATTCCATTTTGTATTATTAGTGATCTCCTCGGGTCGATCTCCAATTGCTGTCAAGCAATTGTCTTTCCTTAAAATTGTCTTAATTCTCATTTTTCATAGTGAGAAATTGCTCCCATTAAACCTCTCAATCTCGTACTTTGCTGCCATTATATTCACCGAGATCTATTCAACTATCACTGTTTCACTGATCTGTAGCGTATATATAAATAGTATCGTGTGAATAATACTTCACTAAGTAAGTTCCCAAGAAAGATTGGAGGGATAACAAACGGTCCTACTTAAAACTCAATCTCCTTAGATAGAACTTCTTAATTGTATTTAATCACCACACTTCTTTTCTATATACGCCAACAGTAACAATGTAAATAATATCGTATAGATGAATAATGCTATATAGGTGAATAGTGTCATAGACGTGAATAGTAACTGTATACACGAATAACTTTTGTGTACTAACAACACCAACCAAAAGGCTCTGATACCACTGTTAGGATTCTGGCATGTAAACCCGATAAGATAAAAGGCAAGGAATAGGATAAAATGAGAAATGAGACACACAAGAATTTACATGGTTCACCCAATTTAGGTTACGTCCACAAGCAAATATAGAATGATTTTACTAAGTAATATAAGAATTACAACCTCTCTCAAGTAATAGGAGAACAACTAAAATCTTTCTATTACTAGGAGAGAACACCTCACTTACTCTCACAAATACCTCACAATTTTATGGGATTACTCTCTCTTCTCTCTACTCTTCACTTCTCTTCTTTGGTGTGAATAATAAGCTTGGAGGCATTACCTATTTATAAGAAAAGTGAGGGGACAAAGGCCATAAATTATAGTATAAATTATACCAACAATTCATCTCCACTAATTTTTGTCTTCCATTAATTTTGTCTTCCACTAATTTTGTCTTCCACTAATTAATGGATATACTTAATGAAGTATTGGCTTTAATGGATATACTTAAGTTAATTAAGTATTAGCCTTACAAAAACACAAGCTTCTCTTATTTATTGGAGTGGGTATTGCATATGCTATCAACGTTTTATTTATTTTTATTTTTTTATATTTGTTAAAAGATTAAATTGACCCTTATGGAACTTGACAATAACAAAAAATCTAAAAACAAAAAACAAAAAAACCCTAGACAACAACTATAGAATATTTGCCTTGGATAATATTTTAGATATTTTTATGCTTTTGAAATTGAAAACTCAAAAATGCTTATACAAAAAAGTTAATTAATTTTTTTTGACGATATTTAAGTCATGCTATACAAAAAAAGGGTAAAAATATCTATTTGTTTTTATTTAATTTTATAATAGACAATATATCCCATGAAAAGATTAAATTATCCTTTAAATTACGAGGCTTTGTATAGGGAGGGAAAATTTGTCAAATCATTTAAGGGAGTTTACAGTGAAAGATTTATAAAAACTATTTTTATGGTTGTAATTTAAAAAAATAAGTTTAAAAAAAATATGGTTCGGTATTGTTAATTGGATTTAGATAAGTGTTTGGTAAAAATTATGATTGACGTTTATTTATAACAAAAAAAATATGAATAAAATATTTGGTATTTATCTGGTTGCGGTTGTTTTTTAACATGTTTTTTATTTGGAAATGCATTAAAATAATATATTTTTATTTTAAAAAAATTATTTTTGATATCAATTCATCAAAATAATCTAAAAACATAAAAAAGTATTAATTTAAAGTAAAAATAAAAATAAAAAAATTATCAATTTTTTTTAAAAACACTTTTAAAATGCAAAAATAATTAATATTTTACAAAAATTAATTAAAAAACATGTAAACATTACTTTATAAAAACTATATTTCAAACTTAATTTTTTAATAGACCTGCTAATGTAAAATACAGTTTTTATAGTTACAAATAATTTATTATATTTTTATACCACAAACACATGATAAGCATTGTATATATTGGATCAGGCAATCAAGTACGAGAAAATAGCTTCGTTTATCTAGTCTTATTCACTAAATCTCAAAGCCCAAAAGGCCCACACAAACGCCAACAGCCCATTTTCATCCAAGCCCACCAAGACGACGCGTCTTACGCAAAATCAAGTGCCCGTGGCAAGAAAACAACTGAAGAAAATCAAATAAATTTAAATTAAATAAAAAACACAAAACTCTGCGACTAAAACCCTACTCAACAGCACCCCTACTCACCACAGAGTACTGTCTGAGTCGTTTCTCCAGACTGAGTACTGACTGGGTCTTCTTCTTTAGTCTTCAAACATGAAATTTCTTCTTCAAGGTAAACAACACAAACGATTTCTTTTTTTTTTCCCCATTTCTTCTGCTACTTTAAGAAAATGAAATAAAAAAAACAGATACAATATTTATGATTTATCAGGTGCTCAAAGATCACTGCTCCGCGGCTTCGGAAGGCGATACTTGGCTACTTCAACAGAACAGTACGCCAAACGAAATTATGCAAATAATTTATCAGAGTACAACACTGTTTTCACTTCTCTAACTGCTAAACGCAGGTATTTATTATTCCCTTAGTTATTTATAAATGTATTTTTGATTATATTAAATTTAATTTACTTAAATTTATTATTATTGTTGTTGGGAATTAGGCATTATCTGTTGAGAGATGCATACGATGATATGGTGTTAGACGGAGTGCAGCCGAGTAGAGATACATTTCATTCTTTGATTGCTGGAACAATGAAAGGCTCGCGTTTGCAAGATGCTTTCTATTTTAGAGATGAGATGAAAACTATGGGTTTGCTTCCTGATGTATGTTTTTCTCTTTTCTCGTTAATTTTTGAAAGATTATTACTATTTTTAAGCCATGTGATTTTTTCGATATTATAGGTTGTGTTGTACAACTTTTTGATATCAACCTGCGGGAAAAGCAAGAATTCTGACCAGGCAATTAAGGTAAAGCTATGCTATTGTTTTTTTTTTTTAGCAGGGATAAAGTGCTATTTGTATTTGGATTTTGCTAATTTTTCTCTTTTGTTGAAGATTTTGGACGAGATGAAGAATTCTGGAGTGAAGCCGAATGGACAAACCTATATCTGTCTACTTAATGCATGTGCTGCTGCTGGTCGGTTAGATCCAGTGTATGTTATTTCTTCCGTGGTTTGTATCTTTTCTCCTTTTTCATCTTGATCACCATGTTCAATCCCTCAACCTGATTACCCTTTTCATCTAGCTGCATGGCTTTGTAGCCTTAAGTGTATGACTGGGAAAGTTTACAATGAAATGAGGTGCAGCTTCCCAAACTAAAATGATTGGTATAATGCATTTCCCAACTTAACTTCATTAACTGTAATGTTTGTTGAGGACATCAATGACTGTCAATTCTGCCCATATACAGAAAAAAATCTCAGATTCTATTGCCAATGAACTTATGGACCATGTCTTCAGCCAACAATTGGCTTGATGTTGAGCCTGGAGCATCATCAAGTTATGTTTCCCATAAATTGTCTTGTTGACCTGCATAAAATTAAATTATTCAGCATCATCATCTAAAATGTTACAGGTATGCAATTGTTCGTGATATGACTTCAGCTGGTGTTGGTTTGAACAAGTTCTGCTATGCAGGACTAATAGCTGCACATAAGAACAAGACACCCATAGCAGAAGATGTAGCCACCAAAGTAACTATAAACAACTCTCCTTTTTTTGAACATCATTCTCTCTTTCTTTCAGAATTTTGAAGCTTTTCTAATAACCTTATATTGTTGGAAGATTATTGAGCTTGTTGAGCAGTCAAAGGGTTGGTCATCTGTTGAAGCATCAACAGGAGAAAATGCTGAAAATGTGATGATGAATGTTTCTGAAGAGGAATTATACAATTTACCAACTGCAGACTATGCTCATAAGCGTCGAGGGTTTTTGCGTAAGGAATTGACTGTCTACCATGTGGCCTTTCATGCTTTTACAGAGCTTAAAAATGTTCAGGTAGATTTTCTCAGATCCCTAGTGATATCTTGGTTTTCTAGCCTTTAAGAAAATCAATTTCTACTATACCACTCACTATTGCTGTCTCATTTTTTCTGTTGCTTTTATTTATTATCAGTAGTCTTCTTGTTGTTTTTTCTTGGTCGCAATAGGCTATGGAAGTTCTTGTGGAGATGCTTAAGAGTGAAAAAAAGGATCCTGATGTCTTTATTCTCTTGCAAATAATGAGGTATATTAGTTGATCTTTATTTAACATTTGAGGTCAATTTAATCAAGCTATGTACAAGAGCAATGCAGCATAGATTTATTCATTTTCCTTTCATACCCTATTGATATTTTCCTAAACAGTCATGAAACTGCATGCATGGTTTCAAACAATGAGTCCAAATTCTCTCTCTTTGTGGTTTATCATTTGGTAACTGGGAAGAGTATTAGCTTTAATTGGCTATCAGTTGTTCATGGATAGATAGTATATTGAGTGGTGTATTTATCAGAGTGCCTTCTTAGAATTTGGTGATCGACTTCCTTGTATACACCTTTCTGATATACACTTTATATGAAATCTTTCTTTAAATTTTAGTTCTAACTAATATAGCTGGCTGCTAACCTGACCCTTGTAATTGCCTTCCTAGTGATACACTTTTTATAATAATCTATATTTAATTAGAGCTGTTATGCATTCTTTGCAAGTGTTGTGCAGTTAGGTTAGGGACAAGGTTTATATGGAAGAGCATATGTTATTTGGCAGGGGAACTCCTATAGATTTTTCCATTTAATGAATTAACTCTTAGAAAATTTACTTTCTTATTCTCTAAAAATCTTTAGTTGGTCTGAGTTTTGTCAAAATTCATGTCTTCTACATAATGCATGAGTCTTGTGCGAACTCTCTTCCTGAATCTCATTCCATGGCCTGAATGTTTCATGTTTCTGGTAACTATGATGTGGTTAGCCATGTCTCACTTCCTAGAACCATAGACAAGAGACAGAAAGAGTATTGTTCTTTTCCAAGAATCAATCACAAGAAAACTCAAGATAAAACATTGAAAACACTTGTGACATTCTCATTTGAAAATAAATACCTTTGTGTGGCTTGAAGAGATGCCTGCATGATTGCTAGCTTTGGTGGATAGAAATGCACACCACTATTGTAATTAGTATTGAGGAGCATTGCAGAGGGTTAACTATCTTTCATAGCATGGCTTTTATCACGGGTTTATAAAGTTTATTAATTGTTCCAACCCTAGTCATTTGCTTTGCAATTTTCATTGGTCTGAGTTAAGTTTGTGAAATTTAATTTCCATAAAAGAAATTAATCTGAAAAATGGCCTAAAAAGAAAAGAAAAAAAAATGCAAACTAGCCTCTTCTAGCTAGGTGTGCTTGAAGTTGGATGAGAATTTCTCTATATATATACATATTCCTTTAAAGATGCTTTCTTCCTTTCTATTTCTATTTATTTTTTCAATGTACAAGTGAAAATTTTCATAAATTACTTCTATAAATTTGTCTTTTTTGAGAAATATTAAGGCGGCTTGTTAAATCAGGTTATGGGAAAAAGAAAGCCACGATAAAAAAAAAAATTGCATTCTTCTATTTTTACTGTAATTTTGATTGATTGAAAAAGAAGAAGAAGCTTAGTTGTCCTTTTCTGCTGTCTTCAAATAAGCAAATAATTAATTTTTTTCTTATAATATAGTAGGATGTGGATCTCTGCTTGCTTTAACTATAAGAAGCAAATAATTAATTTTTTTCTTATAATATAGTAGGATGTGGACCTCTGCTTGCTTTAACTATTTTTTCAGAACAAAATTAGAAATGCAATGAAGGTTTTTCATTTAAATTATTCCTATAGTATCAGTAATGCATTTTGCTTTGTCATAGCCATCGCACTTCATGTTCTTCTATGTGATCATTACAATTTCTAATGCATGGAGCAGTGCCTTGGTGGTCATTTCTTATTTTTCATTATAAACAAAAAAAGGATCAAATAATGAAATTAAAATGTCAATGCAATAACAATTACATCATAATTCAGATTACCATATTGATATATATATATATAGGAATAATATTTGTAACTTTTAGAGGCTGGTAATGTTGTATTCAAGGAAGAATATGACAATAAATAATTATTGGGAAAACAAACAAGCTAAGATAGACAGCTGCTAGTGAGAAGTAGATACAATCAAATATTAGTTGTGTAAACAGATGGAAAAGACTGAATAAGTTGGCTGAGATTCTTATTATGTCTGTAGCAACGTAGAATAGGATTATATGGCTCTAACATTTGGCATTGCAAGGAAAGTAGGAAGACAAGAAAGAATATTGCTTGTGTAAAATTCTGTTCAGGTTCGAACAATGATTTTAGATTATAGAGAACATAATCAGAGAGTTGTCACTACTAGCTATCCATTGAATTTTAGGCTGTCTTTCCAGTCCACTTGTTGTGCAGAACAGTTTTTTCTTTTTTAATAAGCATTGGGTGTGCATCAATTAGGCCAAGGCTATTCTTGAACTTGCAACCTTTTTTTCTTTTTTATTATTTTTTTTATTTCAATTGTTCATTTGACATTAAAAGCTATGAAGTGTCCTTCTAAATCCTTTTTGTCTAGGTGCTATCTACTTTCTGGAGACCTTGATCGTGGTCTTCAAGTTTTTAATGATTATATGAATTCCATGAAGCCTTCTTTTATAGAACTATACACGGTGAGTTTTGTAACAACTGCCATATCTGCGATTTGTATATATATCAGTTGGCTGTTATATTGAATTGTTGTATTGTATATCACTTGCTGTTGGAAAAACCAGCTTTCGTTTTTCTGACTTTATGTATAAGTAGGTTCTAGAGGTATTGAACAGAAATTCTAGAACATTTTTGTTCACATGTATCTTCCATCTCAGAATCATGTCCTTTCTTCTGCTTCCAGCAGCATAATTGACCTTACTTGAAAATACATGCATTCTTTAATTTTCTCAATATTGCATGTAGCAAGATGTGCTAACCTGCACATTTATTTTACAAAAATTTTCAGGGGTATATATGTCAGTTCATAAAAATTTTCTTCTCTAACACCATACACTCTTTGCCCTCTCCTCTTTCTCGAAATATCCCTACTGGATTAAATGCTCTTTCTTATTGCTCTATTTCTGTGTATCAATCATCTATAAACAATTCTCAAGAAGTGACAATTACCTATAAACTCTTCACCTTTGAATTCCCGCTTTTTTCCCTATTAGGACTTTAGAATCATGTTTTTTTTTTTTCCCTAATAGAAGTGGAAAGGTATAGCTTATTGGATCTGGATCTATTTTCCATTGAAAAATCATGTTTGTTACTCTTAACAATCATGTGAATTAGTTCTTCAGAATGTGGATTGTGATGAATCATTATATGATCACTTTTTACTAATGTAGGCTTCTTGCTTCTCAAACATCAATTGACAAGGTCTGTCAAGAACTTCTGTGTTAACATATTGCTTATTAGTGAAATGAAGAAATTTGAAATTTTGATGGTTTTTAACAGTTCGTTGCATAAAAAAAAGGGAGAAAGGAGAAGGCAGGGGCCTTTATCTGTTTTTTGGGAGGATGCAAATCTTTTTTCGGACATACTAAAATGAAAAAATCTTCCCTGAATGCTAATTTTATTATTACATGAGAGAACAAGGCTATTTTATATCTAAAAAACGGTGGGCACATTACTTACCTGCAAGGGGCTGCTAAGTTGCCATTATTTCTGCTTGTCAGATTTGAGCGGAACCCATTACTATTTGGACTTAGATTACCTCTCAATGCATTAAACTGCAATCATATTCATCTATTCACAAAATCACGTTTTTTTTTCTTCACACGTGACTCTTCCTTTCTCCCCACTGAACACATGGACACCCCCCCTCCTCCCAAAAAAAAAAAAATCTCCTCTCTCTCCACTTGATCTGCATATATTCTCTGTTCTTCCTCCTCCGCCAGGTCACCACCAAAAATCTTTTTTCCTTCTGCCACCGATGATGACAAGAGGGTTCTCACCTATTATCCATTCTTTATAGAAGTGCATACAAAATTATTACTTGATTTATTTTACAATTTCTCTTTTCCATTACATCATTTTTGTGAGCCCGAACTATTTTTCTTAACATATCCACAAAGGGTAACCTGACTTTTGTAATATCATAAATTGAATTTACAATTAACCTTTGTTTACTGGGAACAGTGAAAATATATGAATTGCCACCAGAAACTTTCTATTTGGAGATTCCCTTCTTTCTTTGCATTTTTTTTTTACTTTCCTTCCTTTTTTCCCTTATTTTGCTGACTAGCAGCCATTTGTTTCTTATTTTCTACTCTAATTTATTTACATCTGCCACTGTGGTGTGGGGAATCAATTTATTTCCTGTATTGGTGCAACTAAGCTGATCATAACACAAGCCTTAAACTGCTTGAACTTCTCATAGGTACTTATTGAGGGAGCCATGGTAGGGCATACTCCAAGAGGAATGCAAATTGCTTTAGACAAGCTGGTATGGTTAGTTTATGGTTCTATACTGTGTTTCTGATAGTGTCATCATTGTGCCTTCATATAGATTCTTGAACAATGCAGGAAGAAATGACGCAGAGAAGCTTCTTCTTGTTTCCAAAAATTGCAAATGATCTACTCCTCATAGCAGCTGGTGATAAGGTAATAATTATGCTGCACTTTATTTTTCACAAGGGACCATTCATTGTCATTAATAGTTAGAAATGTTTATATGTTGTTGAGCTGTATATCTCATCATTTTATGATAAAATTACAGAAAGGTGGATATACTACTGCCAATTATATATGGGACCTGATCCAAGCTCGTAAAATGCCACTTTCATTTCCTGCAGTGGAAGCATATTACAATGGGTTAAAAGTAAGTCTTTTTTGTTTCATAATGCAGTGGAGGATTTTACAATGGGTCTGCTGTTTATTTAAGCTCGTTGTTCCCTCTTTTTTTTTTTTTCCTGTAGCTTCATTCAACTACACATTCCCATATTCATGATGAAACTAATAGGTTAAAGACTTGCAGAGAATGGATATAAATTCTTCAAGTGACTCAAATAGGTTAAAGAATTGCAGAAAAAGTTATCCATAATGCTCTTGGTTTAGAGTGGAGGGTCTTTAAATTGACATGACATATGCGAGGATGACCCTGTGAGAATTTAGCTTTGCAGGCTGTGTGATTAAACAAAAAATATTAGCTTAAGCAGCATTGTGTTTACAGAACAACCCTGATGTTTCTCGCCCTTGATAAACTGGAACTTCTCGTCATTTATATCCATAGAGGGGACAGAACTCATTGGATTACATGTTAATATTATAGGTATTTCCTAATACCAACCGCATGGTTTTCCTTTCTCTTTGCAACTCATCAGATCATCTATTAATAATTTAGGTATTTCCTAATACCATCTGCGTGGTTTTCCCTGTTCTTGGCAACATTTTTCCTGTTTTCTCGATTGTGGAGACATTTTTTTTCTGGAACTATCAAACCTTTTTTCCACACAAATGTCCCTCGAAAGACCCCTTTGGATCATTTTCAGTGAATGAAAACGTCTGGTGGTCATCTCACCATGTGCCCTGTTCAATACGTGCTGCACATATGGTCCTGTTATCTCCATAAGCAGATTCCAGTGTCCTTCCATAAGCTTTGAAAGTTGGAGTTGAGCTAATGAAATTGCAAAATGCAATGTGTTGTTCTTTCAAAGTAATTTAGTAAAGTTCATACGGTGGTTTTGCAACATACTGTTGGTTCTAAATCCTATCGCTGTGTAGCTACCTAACTCTTTTCCTTCTCTTCTTTGAACGGCAGGGGCGCTGTGTACCGGAAGACGATCCCAGATGGTTGCTAGTTTCTAGTACATACGAGAGGCTACGCCCAAGATCTGGAGCAGGAACTGGACCTGCAAGACAGCAGGCGCAGAATATCAAAACTGATACCGAAGAAAGAACGGCTTTTTAAATGGACATGAATGTGGCTTGCTTTAGAGAGTGTCCATAAAAAGGATGTAAGGAGGTTACATGGATTATCATTTGGTACTGCTCATGTAGGGATGTCACCGTAGCCCGACAGACAGTTTTGATGCTCAGCAACTGATTTCTTTCCTTACCCCGCCACCTAATAATTAAAGGCAACGATCGTTCAAGCAATCCGTGTTACCCTAGTTAATCTTCTAGTTACAGTTTATACATTTTTGTTGTACTACGTTTGTAATTTTATTTCTGTGAGGTTCAAGGAAAGGATGAACATGCCCTAGTTGATTTAACTTGGCTCTTCTATATCATAATAATAATAATAATAATAATTAAAAATGTTAATAGATGAATTTTTGCAAGTATAAAAAATGAAAAACAGGTTTTCAAACACAATTATATGTGAGTACTGAATGATTATTCATTTGTGATTTGGATTAAAAAAGAAAAAAACAGACGTTATAACAGTATAAATCAAGAAAGAAAAATAATCCTAACTTTCCCATTATACCGAATTAATTTTTTTTCTCTAATGACAATTATAAATTTATTTATGGGTGTATTTTAAAATTATATTTTCTTTTAAAAATTATTTAATTAATGTTTTTTAGTTTTTGTAATAGTTTTAATGTGATTATATTAAAAATTATAAAAATTATAGAATGTTTGGTATTTCTTGGCATTGGGATTCAATTATGCATTTGTAAGTTTTTTAATTTATTGTTAGTTTTAAAATAATTTTTATTTTTTTTATTTTTTGAATTATTTTGATATGTTAGTATAAAAAATAAATTTTAAATAAAATAAAAATAATGTTATTTTAATATATTAAAAAATACTTAAAAAATAATATTTACCAAATTTTGAAAAACTCTATATATATCAATCATCTAAAAATGATTGTAACATTATTTACCTCGAAACTTAATGGAGTAAATTTCAATATGTTGTCTTTGGTTTTAAAGTTTGATTAGGGAAAAAAAAATTAGCACCATTTTAAAAATATATATATAAGTTAAAAAACTTGGTTTCATTGCCATTTTTTGAAATATAAATAAGTTTAAGCAAATTGTGAAAAGACAAACTATTGTTAAGGAGTTTTGTTTTTAATTTTTGCCATTATAAAATTACTTAAAAATAATTAAACTCTGCACAGGATGTGTTTTTTTTTAAAAAAAAATAAACCCTAAAGCGAAGCGCCATCATCACCCAACCCAAAGGCCAAAGTGAGACGATTGTTCTTCCTCGCTCGCTATTCACCCAGTTCCAGCAGCCTCCTCCTAAGTCTTTTCCACCACCGCCGTCTGCCATCCTCCTTCGCAGCAGCCACCTTCAGCCTCCGCTACATAAGCAGTAGTAGTAGCTCCAGTAGCATCGGCAGCAGCCGCAGGCCATCCCGATCCACTAACCGTGAGTCATGGTGAGTATTTTCTGTTTATCTTTCTAGATTCTTGTCCAGTCTGTCAAACACCAAACAAAGAGAAGGAGAAGGCTAGGCTAGGCTAGGCCAGCATTGAGGCTTTAATGCTTTGGATTTTGGTAAAAGGGAAAGAAAATCAAGCTTTCTTTGGATTTGCTAAGAAATCTTCTATTTTCTTATCGAACATTAATGATTGTTCCCATCTTTCTCGTTTTTAACCATTTCAATTTTCATTGTAATGCATGGATTTTAATTATTTTTAGAATTCTTAGGGTTTTATGCATGGATTTGATTAATGGTGTGGATAGTCCGGATGACTTTAGGTTTAAACTTTGCAATGGTGGTATGCCGGTTGCTGACTAGTGCTTCCCATATCTTTTTTTAGTTTTTGAATTTTGTTTTTGAAGTTGACTTTACTTGGAAAATATTGCAGGTCGAGAAAACTTTTAAAGATGAAGCTACCGAGGAAAAGGGAGAGCGTGCCAGACTGGTATGTTACTGTTTTTTTTTCCAGGCCGGGTTTTTTTCTCTCTCAATGGACGCTGGTGCAAGCATTAATGTATTTGAGAAGTTTGCGACGAAGTTACTTGTGTGGTAGGGAGTTTTATTTTCATTACTGTGCTGTTATTGTTATCATGCAATTCGATTATCAGTCAATGATTCTTGGATTGAAACAATGGCTAGCTTGGCATCAGTGTTGTCAAAGGTAGAAGGCGCTAAAAGGCACTAAACCAGTAAAATGACCGAGGTGCTCGGCGCTCGCCTCAATGAACCAAGGCGATATACTATAGATTAGAAAATATATATGTATGATATTATATTATATTATATGAATCGAAAAAATATATCTTTCCAATTAAGATTAGATCATTAGAAAATCAAAAGAAAATATAAAATATCTTAACACAGTTGTATAAAGTTATATTTTTCACCCTTAAAACAAAAAAAAGATAATTTGAAGTAGTAATGTAGTAAGTAGCGAAATAGATTAAAAAAACCTTAAAATCATCATCATTATTCATTAATCTTCAAAAACCTCCTCATCCATTTTTGTTCTATACTTGTGTTGTTGTACTCTGACTCTGCTCAACACAAAGTGTGGCTCATGTTTCTCTTCAAGTGTCCTTCCTTCTTGTATGCCTCCTACTTTAATGATTTTTTTATTCTTTTTTTAACCCTAATCTTTGCTTCTTTCTTTTTTTTATAAAAAATATACCCCTAACTTGTTTCTTGTGATAAATAAAAAAATGGACAAATAGGTCATAACATAAATTATTAAAAAAAAAGAAGGAAAATCCAACAGAGAAGGAAGTATTTCAGTGAGGCACCCGCTTTAACACCTGGTGCCCACTCACAAGGCAATTGCCTAGGCAGCACTTCATTTAAACTCATCGCCTGAGGCTAATGAAGGTGTTGTGGCCTCGCTTTGCCTTGCATGGAGTGCCTAGGCAAGTGCCTCAATGCCTCTTAGCCTTTTAGAATCTTTATTAATGTTGTCTTCTTGTTTAGTTTCTAAAATTTTAAGGATGGGATATTTGTTATGAATTTTGTATTTCAGCTAACCTGAAGCTAGGTTAACCTAGCCTATGTAATTTTATCCATTTCTTTCCTTTTTTATTTTAGGAAAGAATGAGTGAGGAACATAAAGAACAAGAACAAGTTTTGTTTTTAGAGGAGGGAAAGAAGAAAAAGTTAAAGAAAGAAGCAGAAAAGGCTCAGAAGCGTGGTGTTTGTTACATAAGTAGAGTTCCTCCTGGTATGGATCATGTTAAGCTTCGTCAACTTCTCAGTCAGTACGGTGAAATTCAACGAATTTACCTTGCTCCTCAAAGTATAGTATCTCATACTTCTTATGTGTTTATATTTAAAAATAGGAGGAAAAATGGGTCTTCAATTTTATTGAGAAATTTTAGCTGTGTGTTTGCAGATAGTTCTTCTATTGATCAAGTGAATGATAATAATAAGAGTAGAAAAAGAGGTGGTGGAGCTAAAGCTCAAGCATACTCTGAAGGGTAATTTGCATACATTTTTGTGTGTTAATTACATCAACATATATTTGAATTGTGTTGTTTACTTTGTAATTGATTTGTTTGTTGTGTTTTTCAGGTGGGTTGAGTTTGCTAGTAAAAGTAATGCTAAAAGGGTTGCTAATTTGTTAAATGGTGAACAAATAGGTAATTTATAATTTTTTCTTATGCCCTCTTGTTTTGTTGAGTTGAATGAGAATTTTTAGTTTGCTCTGTAGAGAAACCATCAAGGAAACATGTCAAGTTCTTGTTCTTTGTATATATTTTCTATTTTTCTTTTCTTTTCTTTTTTGATTTTCTTTTTTTCTTTTTTCTTTTTTCTATTTTCTTTTTGTTGATTTTACCTGTTCTGTCATATTTTTTTTATATAAAAAAAAGGGTTCGTTTATGTGTGCTGGGATTGCTTTGTAAATAATTTACTTATTTTTTCCTCCAAGTGTTCTTTAATTTCTTCTGTCTTCTTGTTTTTTTAGGTGGGAAGAAGCGGTCACAATTCTATTATGATCATTGGAATATCAAGTATCTAAGTAAATTCAAATGGGATAATCTTACAGATGAAATTGGTATATCACTCGTTTCTGTTGTGCTCTATCTCATCATGTTTTACAGTTTATCGTGTGTCTAAATTATAGTGCTTTAAATGCAGCTTACAAGAAAGCTATTCGGGAACAAAAATTAGCGTTAGAAATTTCTGCTGCAAAGAGGGAGCGGGATTTCTATCTCAAAAAAGTTGACCAGTCTCGTGCTTTAAGCTCTATTGAAGAACGAATGAAGAAGGTAAACAGCATCTATAACTTCTCACTGTTACAGACTTTCTTTTTCCTGGAACCACCATCTATGGTGCTGTTTTGAGATATTTTGGCATTGCTTAAGTCATCAATTTGATGCACCTGTTTAAGGAATTAAACTTGGCATTTTGTTCTCTGTGTCAGGATTACAATACTCAAGTTCCGTCTAGGCCAGTTTAACTATGTTTGGCACAATAGTTGGGCAGTGTGGCTAGCTTAGAATCAGTTAAAGCCAGATATTTTCATTGTGAATCTGAAATTTGTTAGTTGGTACTTGAAACTTGTAATTAAATGATTTATTTTTTTTGGTTTATTTAGAGAGGCATGTAAATCATTTTGATGTCTGATTGAATAGGCTCCTTTTGTTTTGTAAGAGTTAGCCTCCTTCCCTCAGTAGCATGACACTTTCATGATGAGTTGTGGTATGGACACAGCTGAGACATGATGCCATGCGTCAGCTCCTTCTATATGGTTGAAATTAATTATATCATTGAAATTTGATTAAAAAAAGGTAGTTCTCTTCAATAGGATGGAAGAAATAGGAGGAATAGGAATAGGAGGATTGAGGGGGTATTGTTATCAGAGGGCGGTGATGTGCATGCATATGTTTGTGTTTTATTCATGTGATGTTTTCAAATCTGTATTTCACATCCATAGGTGTTGAGCATGCATTAGAATATGTTACATGATCATCTATGATGAATTCATCAATGAACACTAATCAGATACTCTCTGTTATTGTAATCCTTAATATGCTGCTTGTGTGATAATTATTGTAAAATCCTCAATGAATGCTTAACAAAGAGACTTTATTATACCCCTCCTAGCTCCTTATGTCAGTAAATGTCAAAACCAGTTATCTTTTCATTTCATTGGACATGGCCAGCTCTGATGGGTAAGCCAGGAACCATAAGTTTTTGAGGGAACTTGAAAATGTAGGTGCTTTAGAGGCATGTACTTGATTGGGTTTAAGGGCAGCATGCTTGCAATTTGCAACTGATAAAGATGTAGCATGCACACACACACACACACCCAACACACATCTGTGTGAACATGAAATATAGTCTCCCAAATTTTGCCAGACAACTGTTATTTCCTATTTTCCTATTTTGATCGTATATATATATATATATATATGTATCTTAGTTTTGACTGGTTTTTTATTTTATTGGAATTTTTTTTGGACATGCTGATGCTTTGATACCCCTAACTAATTATAAAGTCTTGTGATTAGTATGTCTTTCTTGTAATGTAAATTAATGGTTTCACCATTTGCATTCTGGGACTTTTTCTCTCTTTATGGCATGGCATCATATATTCTTCAATCTCCTTCACGTGATGGGTTTCCTTTTCTATTTATAGAAGCAGAAGGTCCAACAAGAATCTGGAGGTGAACTTTCTGTTGCCCCACAGAAACCAACGGTTTGTCGACAATTCCCACAGAAAAAACCGATTGCTGAAAGAGAGAGA